GCAGCGGCTTCGCCGCCCCGTTTACCGCATTTTGATTATTGGCGGAGACAACAGCGTTTGCTGCAACGCCCGTTTGACGCTGCTGCTGGGGTCTCGGCAGCTGCTGCTGCGGTGTTTCAGCAGCTACGTGCGCGGCCTTGCTGCTGGCGGGGCGCCTGCTGCTGCTGCTGGTTCCTATGGGGCTGCAGCAGCAGCAGCAGCAGCAGCAGATTCGGGAGACGCCCGCAGCAGCAGCCTCGGATTCACCAGCAGCAGAAGGGCAGAGCAGGGGCTCCTGCAGCAGGCGCTTCGAGTCGAGGAAATGATGGGGGGTCATCCCCACGGATTTGCTGCTGCTGCTGCTGCAGCTGCTGCTGCTTCTGCTGCTGCTGATCCAGAGGGACCCACCGACCGCGAGCTGTGGAGGGCGCTGCGCTGGAGAACGCGGGGGCTGCGGTTAGTTTTTCTGTTGCTGCTGCTGCTGTTGCTGCTGCTGCTGTTGCTGCTGCTGTTGCTTTTTGTGCTGCTGCTGCTGTTGCTTCTGCTGCTGTTGCTTCTGCTGCTGTTGCTGCTGCTGCTGCACGTCTGGGCTACGTGTGAACTTTCGAGCTTTACCGTTTGAGCTGTTTGAGATATGCCACTGACCCTTTATTCCCAGCTGTGCTGCTGTTGCTGCTGCTGCTGCTGCTGCTGCAGGGTGCGCCCTCTACCGCGGGTTGTGAGTGTCTCAGAGGGCACTTCTGCAGTGTCTTTGGTGCTGCAGCAGTACCAGCCGCATGCAGTTGTGCTGCTGCCGCCGCTGCTGCCGTGTGTGCGGCTGCTGGAAAACTACTGTGCCTTTGTTTATCGGCAGCAGCAAATCAGGAGAGCCCTTGCTGCCTTTTCTGCTGCACCTGCAGCTGAGGGCAATGAGAAAGCGGCAGCAGCAGCACCAGCAGCAGCACCAGCAGCAGCACCAGCAGCACCAGGAGCACCAGCGGCGGCCACCGCAGACCCATGCACAACAGAGTTAGTACCAGCAACGGCAGCAGCGGGGGCTGAAGCAGCAGCAACAGCAGCAGCAAAGAAGACCTGCGCGAGGCTGCTGAAGTGGCTGCAGCAGCAGCGGCTTGTGGGGTCGCAGCTTCGGGTGTATCTGGTTGCTGCTGCAGAGAGTTTGCTGCTGCAGCAGTACGTACACTCCGTGCAGGAGGAAGCAGCAGCCTGGAGGCACATTGAGTTCTCAGCGCAGCACCTGCTGCTGGTAACAGATGATTTGCTGCTGCTGGCTCCGCAGCGGCTGCTGCGCGAGGAGCTGCTGCAGCAGCTGCAGCCGTGGGGCCCAGAGCGGCTGCGGGCTGCGCCGCACGGT